CTATCTATCTATCTATCTATCTATCTATCTATCTATCTATCTATCTACCTACCTACCTATTTATGTTTGAGTAATCCTAAATAAAATGTGACTTTAATCTCTGTACATCATAAAACACTTTCTTCTGAAACCTTTTCTCGGAGACTTTTAGTAAGTTCTGTACATCCTTAGGATGAAGCCCACAGTCTTTAACACATTAATGGACCTACAGGATCTGGCCTTTGATTTCTCAGCCTTTCTCTTCTACAGCCATGCCTGGCTTCCTTCCATTCTTCAGAACGCTTGTGTTCTTTCTTTGCTGCTTTGTTACTTTTTTATGAGCTATTTTCTTTACTTGGACTTCTCATCTTCCAGGAAATGTTTTTAATTCCTTAGAAGTGTTGAGATGTTATTTGATATTTTCTAACATTCTCTACTCTTTGGAAATTTGCAGTTAATACTAGTCATTTAGTTATTCATTACCAATTTACTCATTTCAGTTAACTGCTAAAGCCTTCCAGGTTATAAATATGATTACCTTATTTCTAACATAATAATTTAAGAGAATACCTAATACACTCTGTTTCTGGCTTTGTTTTGGTGTTTTGAATAAAATATGGCCTGTTTCTCTTTCTAGTTAATGAAGATGCTCTTTGAATGTTCAGATGAACGAATTGACTTAGAGTTGATTTCTTTTTGCATTAATCTTGCTGCTAACAAGAGAAATGTCCAGCTCATCTGTGAAGGTCAGTGCACAGAGCTATACAAATACCTGCTTTAGCATGTGATGATTGTCATATAATGAGGAATAGATAAGAAAAGAAAGAAAGAATAAAAAGTAAGCATAAATTCTCTTAAATAGTTTCCTCAGTATGTTTATGGGTCTCATAGGATATCCTTTTCTGGTGTATGTATTCCTTGCTAATATTTTATACACAAATCAGTTTTCACTTATTTGAAAGGTAATGAAGTATAGGAATACCAGGTTATTATTTCTGTAGTATCTTGATAAAATGACTTAGCATTTTATATGTCTACTAGATAGCTTTTATTTATTTAGGGAGTACATGTTCATTATAAAAAAATACATATAAGCAAATAAAAAAATTAAATATTTATTCTGACCAGTCAGAAATGAATATAATAATTTTGATGTAATGATTCTATAACACTTCGAATAAAATATGATTCTTCTCTCTGGGCCTTATAAAATGGTCATCAAAAACTAATACTTTGAACACATTCCATATTGTAAAATACTTTATTAAAAAGTGGGTTAGCAAGAGGGCTTGGTGGATAAAGGAGTTTGCCACCTACGCCACGTGACCTGAGGGAGAGAGCTGACTACTAAAGTTGCCCTTTGACCTCTGCATGGATGCCCATGGCATGCACAAACACAGAAACATGATATGGACATACGAAAACAAACAATAATAACAAACATTTCTAAAGTAGACTTATTTTTAAAATAAATATAATTGAACTATGATTTGTCATGGTCTGTTCACTCATTTGTATAGAAACTTGTTGCACTTCTTTTCAAGCATAAATGTGTTATAGAAATTATCCTTTCTCTTAACTCTTTATTCCAGTTTTGTATTCTTAGAATAAATTCCTAAAAGTATAATTTTTTCAAGAGTTTTTTTGAAATTTGTGCAGCCTAATCCAAACAGAAGAAAGCATATACTGTATGAACCTGTTTTGATGAAGCTATCTATCATAAAGGTCATCTGTGTTTGAAGAGATAAATTGTAGAAGAAAAAGAATGGGTGGGGGAAAAATAGATGGGGGGATAAGATTGCTAGGCAGGGCACAAGGGAGATTTCTGTAGTGAATGGGAATATTCTATGTGTCGTTTATATGGTGTGTGGTTTGAGTTACACAGCACATGTTTGTCTGATTTGAACTCTACACTTAAAGATTCCACGTTGTACTAGGTGCCCTCCAAACAACAAGCTGTTTGAGCTTAATGTAACTTCAGTGTTATCCAGAACTTCCCATTTTTTGTTTCAGGAAATGGGCTGAAGATGCTCATGAAAAGAGCTCTGAAGCTCAAGGATCCACTGCTGATGAAGATGATCAGAAACATATCCCAGCATGATGGACCCACTAAGAATTTGTTCATTGTGAGTAGCTCCCAGCCTTCTGTCTATTAAAATAGATTTGAGACCATAGCTTAAGTTGATGCATTTTGGGAGACAACTTACTGGGCTCTCTCTTCAAATGTTTCCTTGAGACACAAATGCTTCCTCTTCTTGTGAGAACCTTCATGAGCTTAACTCTGCAATACTGATGAATGCAGTTCCTAAAAATTAAATAAAGGTATGAGCTTAGGTCCACAATACTGATGAATAAACTTAAAAGAGGAGAGTCAGAGCTGGGATCCAGTAAAGAGAACATGTGTGTCTATGTGTCTGTCCAGCTTACCTTATCCTGCACTGTTTGCAAGAAGAAAGAAGTTTTGTAAGAGGTGCTTAGAAAGAGGAAGTGGGCAGAAGAGCAAAGTCTGAGGGTTGTGAATATTATGAGAACTTTGTGCATGTATGTGACAGTGTTATAACAAAGCCCATTACATCAAATCATTAATTAAAGAATGATTTAACATAATTAGATTACCCTCTGACAACCTGAGTTCAATCCTGAGACCCATTGGGTTGAATGAACTGACGCCATTGGTTGGCTTCTGACCTTTATGCAGATGCAAGCATCTGCACGTGTGTACATACACACATATATCCAGATTAATATTTTGTATTAGTTTCATGCATTTTCTCCTGCAAGTTGTTCTCTAGTTTCCATACCGTTCTGTAGTGAGTACACATGCACACACACACACACACACAAATGTAATATAATACACAAAATAAGAACAAGGGACAAAACCAAAAACTCTTCATTGTTTTAGAAAGTAATTAGAGCACCCCATTTGTTCTTCTCTGCTTTTGATGGAAGTGCAGAGCAAAAGCTCAGCATGGCAGGCACAAGTGAACTGCCAAGGATGTGGTTCCTGTTACCTGTGTCGCCCTTTGCATTTGTTCCCCGGGGTTCTGAAGGAGAAAGCTAAAGAGCAGAACAGTAACGAACCTAAGCTCTGACGCAGATGCTTGGGCAAGTCATTTTACACCTTGCTTCTCACTGTCTCACCTGTGAAACAGCAAAGCCCTTTTCTCAGAGCCATGATAATAATGAAGTGTTGAGAAACTCCTGAGATCAAGTGCGTGCTGAGACAAATTAGCTGTCAGGATTATTCTACTTAAAATCCATTCCAGAGTTAAAGCTTTGTTCATGTGCCTGTTGTAGAACTCACATCATCAATTTGTAAATACTTCAAAAAGATAAAACAAACAAGAAAAAAAAAAAAGACAAAGGAGGAATTCAGATAACCTTAGTGCTAAAATTCTCTGATCATGAACTGGCCCAAAATACAGAATCTGGACCGTCTTTCTCTTTTTTCAGAGTAAGTTATAGTAAGCAGTTACTATATACTTGGCATACTGCTGTCCTACTGTGCATTATCATGTTGTAACTGTCTGGCTGTTCCATTCTCTCTGGAGCTTATTATTGGGCCAATTGCAAGTTCACTCAGTTAAATTGAGAACTCTGTTGGCTTTTTTTTTTCTTCCAGTGGGTTGACTTGTTACATTGGATCATCTCCTAGATTTTAAACTCAATTATAATTCTTCTGTCCCTCAGGATTATGTTGGGGACCTCGCAGCCCAGATCTCCAGTGATGAAGAGGAGGAGTTCGTAATTGAGTGTTTGGGAACTCTGGCAAATCTGACAATCCCAGATCTAGACTGGGAGCTGGTTCTGAAGGAGTACAAGCTGGTTCCGTTCCTCAAAGATAAGCTAAAGCCAGGTCTGGGGGTTTACAGCTTTGCATATGCTCTGGGTTTTGGATAGGACTGCTAACTCAGCATTGTGAGAGTCTGTTGTTCTGGGCAGCACTCTTTCAAAAGCTTTGGTTTGAGGACTGTTCCAAGCCTTATTTGTCCTAACCGTGATTAATTTCTTTCTTTTTCTTTCTTTCTTCCTTCCTTCCTTTCTTTCTTTCTTTCTTTCTTTCTTTCTTTCTTTCTTTCTTTCTTTCTACATTAGTTTCCCTTCCCTGTTTATTTTTCTGTTTTTAGAGTTTTACTGTCTTTTTATTAAAAGTGCCCCTCCCCCCATTTACATACAGGTTGGAAGCTCACTCACAGTTCTCTGATAATTGAAGGGAGTCCTTTATTTTCTGCTTACATTATCTTTCAGTTATATTTTCAAATACACAGTTACACTTCTCTGCTTTCTCACCAGTTCCACAGGCTATCACCGATAAACATGAAAATTTTGGAAAACTAAAAGACAAGTTTAGAAACATGTCAGTGATTCATAGAGTCATAGAGATGGATTTAACATCTTTCAGCATCTTTTCTGTGCACTCGGGTGTGACAGAGCAAATGTGTTTGCTCAGGACACGAGTGCAAAGCTTGCATGCCTTGCTTTCGGCAGGTGCCGCGGAGGACGACCTTGTTCTGGAGGTGGTGATAATGATCGGGACCGTATCTATGGACGACTCTTGTGCTGCACTGCTAGCTAAGTCCGGGGTGATCCCGGCACTCATTGAACTGCTGAACGGTGAGTCTCGGTTCATGCCCGTGCATAAAGGATAAAATACAGGTCTGCAGTGTTAAATAATATTTGTTTTGTTTCATTAATCATAGAATTAACTAAATTATGGAATCACAAAAATTAACTAAACAAGCTACTAAATGGAATTGGATAGGATAACATGAAAGGACTTCAGGTTGCTATTAAGAATGTTACTATGAAGAAATCTGCACTGATTTCATGTGGCTTCCCTCCTTTAACCAGCTCCAACAAGTAATGCTGAAGCTCTTCTTTCTGTCTGGCTTTTTCTTGGTTTCAGATAGATCCCTTCTGTTGTACAAGGGGATCTATCCTTGTATCTATCCTTGCTTTTTATATCTTCTAGGCAAGAACATTAACTTGGAAGCTGATTCTGAACATCATGCTTTCTTCTAGATCCACAGAATAATGAATATTGTTCTCTGAACTTGCCAGGAAATCAGTGTTCTGTATCTCCCCTCCCAACACATGTGACCATTGAACACTTGAAATGTAGTTGTCAGGACTGAGAACCTGCATTTCTAATTTAATGTAAACTGAGTTAACTACAGCAATGTGTGGGTGCAATATTAGTGGGGATCTGGAATCTTCCCTTTAACTTTGGTGTTAAGGTATTAACTCTTAAGGGGCCAGGGCTCATTTCTGTTCCTATTTTGGATAAAAATTTAAAATTAACATGGTTTTATTGGGGTAACTTTCTTTCCATTTTATTGATTACTATTAATTATATTATTAATTATATAAAAATTAAATTCCTAGGGTGAAACATCTAAAGAAAGCACAGTTCTTAGTCTCAGTCCTTCCAAAGCCATTTATAAGATATAGAGACATAAATATAGATATAGATAATTTTGTAGGCATTTTTGGAGTATACTATATATAAAGAAAAATTGGCCAACACTGTGTGTTCAGTGAGCTGTCAGCGTAAGCATAGCCACATTGCATTACCCTTGTAGGGAAATACATATTACTAGCACTGCAGAAGTACATCTGCCAATGTTCAATCATTAATGCTTCCCATTGAGTGATTTCTGTCTTTTAAATATTCTATCTTTTTTAGAATTTCATACATATATACAGTAAAATATGATGATGTCTACCCCATTTTGCCCTCTGGCTTTTCCTGTGGCCCCCTCCAGACACTCTCCTTCCAACTTCATTGTTTTATTACCCTCTAAATCCAGTCAGTGCTCTCCATATGTGCATAGGTGTGGCCTGTCCACTGGAGCATGGGAAACCTAGCAGTAGCTACCTCCTCCAAACGAATGACGTGTTCTCCTCAGCAGCTATGTACTGCCAGTAGCTACCCAGTAAGAGGTGGGCTGGAGATTCCCTACCCCTCTCCTGGGGTGTGTGCCGGCTGGATACGTGTGACTCCTAGGCTGGCAACCATAGCTGCAGTGTGTGCATTGTTGCAACAGGCATGTGCTGGCCAGAAGATAGTATTGAGCATCACCACCCCCATCCCTTAGCTCTTAGCTTTTAGCATCCTCTCCGCTTCCTCTTCTGCAGGGCTACCCTAAGCCGTATTGATAGTCCAGTTAATGAAGATGTTCCAATTAGGACTAAGCACTCAGTTTCTTTTTCTCGGACTTCGGCCAGTTCTAATGGTCTTCACTGCAGGGATAAACTTCTCTGACCAAGGCTGAGAACAATCCAGGTCTATCAGCATAAGCATCAATATTTAGAAGGCTATTTGACAGCATGATCATTTAGCAGAATAACAATATCAAATTCTACCCTAGGGCCAATTTTCTCCCTAATTGAGGTTTTACCAGAATTACAGTATCATGCATGAAATTCCCTCTTGTGGAACAGGCTTTAAAATCAGTAAGAAAGTGCTCAGTTACCTCATAATACTATTGGCAGTATGTACCAGAAAGGAACATCTTTTCTGGTAAGCTGGAATTGTCGTGTGTAGGGTCTGGTGTTAGGTATGATCATGGATGCTTTGTCTCTCACAGTAGCCTTCATGGCACTTTTTGGCACTGTAAAAGCTAGTTAGCAGAACAGAAGTTTCCCAGTCAGTTTGAGATTAATTCTCAGTGTTCTGAAGCCAAAAATGTATACTGTCATTAGCAGTTGATCCTTTCTATGCAGTTACAGTAGACAACAAAGCGCAATGACAACAGCCTGTGTTATTTAGAGATCCCAGCGTCTTTCCAGACCAGAAACTATCAGGGATGTATTCTGTGCTTTGTACTGCAACTTTTATTTACTAACCTGACTTCTGGGAGTCATGTTAGGGCAATTTTAATCTTTTGTGGGGTTTTTTTTGTTTGTTTGTTTTTCTTTTTTCAATTTTTATTTTTTTAATATTAGTTACAATTTCTTAACTTTGTATCCCTGCTGTATCCCACTTCCTCTCTCCCTCCCAACCCTACTCTCCCACCCTCAT